ACTTCTGATACGTGCTGAATTCAGATTATGATCATAAAGAAAGGTAGCTACTCGTCCAATTGATTGTGATTTGGCAGCCTTGTAGCGTTCAGCAAACTTATCGAATGCTTGTTGTAGTTGTAAGCCACCGATTTTATAATCATTATCGATTTCTTTTAAAAAGTTGGTGAAAGATGAACTATCAAACTCTGCTTCCTGATCTTCTATTTCACTAAATAGATAAAAATAATGTAGCGATGGTATATACAATAGAATAGCTTAAATGATATACATATAACAAACCTGCTTGCGCCAACCTTATTTGCTAAAAATTCATTGAAAGATGAATTGTCAAACTCAGCTTCCTGATCTTCCATTTTACTAAAATAACATTTAATAGTATATATGTAAATTTTGTAAAAGAATAACTTAAATTATTGACGTACAAAAATACAAACCTGAATTCATTGCTTGCGTAAGCCCTGCATTCTGCTATTGATATAGTATTTAAATCATCGTCTTCATTATCATTTATAGAACTATGCTGATTGACCAATGCAGGTTTTGTGCGCAACGATGCATAAAAGGAATGATCTTTCACATGGAATCCTTAAAAAAAAATTATTATAATGTTACATGCATGTACATATATAGCATTCATTTATACCAATATTAATACTAACCATTCGCAATATAAGAAAAAGTCATGCGATCGTTAGGCGTTAACGAAGGTAAAAAATTGATAATTCTAATATGATACTTCATGGCCACAGCACCTTGGTGCTTGCACGGTGCACCTGACATTCCAATAAAACAATTGCATGTTCCAATAGTGCTATTTACATTATAAATAAGTCCTGATTCTTTCTTTGCACTTGGAACTAAATATTCATCTGAATTTTCTAACTGGCGGATTGAATCTTGATCAACAGTTTCCCAACCGGGACAAAAGAATCTCTTTGAAATTTCCATATGACCAATATGTCGATGCGCAAATCCATATAAACGACGTTCATAAAATCGTTCCATGTTTTTGGTAATAAAATAAAAGACCTGAACTGAATTATA